AAAATAACAAAATTGTATAGTTCATTATAAAATAGAAGTTTTACAATATTGTATCATTTTATTAATATTTATTGATTAACACAGTTATAAAATGATACTAAACTACAAATATACACATAATTCACCATGATATATACTTAACATAACATTCAATGTCAAAAATTCAAACTAACCTAACCTAACTTAAAATAGTGATTTCAAAGTCTGGCTATACATATCGTAAAAAATTTCGTTATCAGAAAACAAAAACAAAAGACTAGCAGTATCTACTTGTGGCATATCGTAATATGTTATCACGATGTATCAATTTAAAAAAATATGTATATTAAATATAAATGATATTATTTAAATATATTAGAGAAAGTTACTATTAAAAATGTACATTAATGCTTTTTTTCTATTAAAATCTAAGTAAATTTAATTCCAAATTACGTACTAAAATCGTTACTTCGTTATATTTTTTTTAAATCGTGTATAAAGATATATATGATACATGATATATAATGATTATTTTATAAATATCAAGATTTAAAAAATTTGTTTATGTCTACAAATTATTTCGTTTTAATTTTTATAGAAAAACTTTAAGTTACATTACAACAATTGAGTCACGAAGCGCCAAGTTCCACGTATGTATTTTCTTAATGTTAGACATTATTATTAGAAAGTATTCTGACCCTTTTCACCAAGAGATAAATCGAGATGGAACCAGTCGTAATTTGACGTCGTTAACGCACGTCTTTAAAGAGTTTTATCAAAAGACGCAAGCGCTGTGGCATTAAATTCCACAGTTTATCAGACAAGTATACTTTCCACGGTTGTAAGTCTCATTTCGTGTAAAAAGAAAAAAATCGCGAATGGAGATTATAAATAAGAATAAATCAACAGTAATCATCGGTTTCTCCGGGAACGTAATCGAAAGCACCGCGTGTTTAGTTCCAGCGTTGTCGAAATTGGATTTTAATCTTGATTGGACACAAACCAGCAAAGATCTGTACGCAAGGATCCAGTAAGAATGGCTGCCGTTTTGAGAAGACTTAGAACCGCGCAGATCACGGTGATCGGCAAAACTAAACTACCGACGTTTATTACCAGCCGGTAGGCGATCACGATTCAAAAACATTGAGGAACGCTTGTTTTTTCATATGTTTCGCGTATAGACTACGCGAGCTAGTCTCTAAATGGCGGCTTTTTAGGGCAATAGCCACATCGTGTGTGTTGTAGATCTTTTGCAAGGTCATCGATCCGACAGGATATCAGCGAAGGATGGATAAACAAGCTTTTCGTAAGAAAAATCGAGCCAACCAAAGAGTCTCATTCAAGGATGCTGTCAGATAAAGGAGTTATTTACGCCTTGCACACGCACAATATTCGACCTGATTCCATTGACAAATACTTGGCCAATTAGTAAGTGAATCTGTCTTTTGTTACTTAAAATTTCACAAATTGTTGCTTGAAGTAGTGTGCACATTTAGAATACACATACAAAAATTCTCTTCAAATTTGTTTAAAGCTTCAAGAAAATATTAGATTTTATTTATATCGCAGAATTGTCATGCACAGAGAATTCTTTTATAGTAGAAAAATTATATTAGGACATGTTTGTATTTTGGAATATTACAGTGAAGAGATTGTTAACATAATAAACTCCAAGAAGACCGAATTGAAATTGGAATTAGTTGGTTCATGGACAGTTGTAGCTGGTGATATTGATCAAGCTCTGCACCTGTGGAAATATTCTGGTGGTTATGATAGTGTTGATCGCACGCAAATTGAATTGTCCAAAAATCAGGTACCGTATGTTTGAGAAATTTATTTATGTACAATAATATAAAAAAACGTTATAATATAATGCTTTTTCTTTCCAGGCATATCAACAGTTATTCAAAGAGGGTGGTCATTATTTACGATCACGTTATTTACAATATTTATTGGCATTTAGTTATTGGCCACCTCTTACAAAACGAAATGGTTCAAATATATATGAAATACGTAGTTACAGGCTACAGCCTGGTACTATGATAGAGTGGGGTAATAATTGGGCAAAAGCCATTAATTACAGACGCAACAACAATGAACCTTTTGCTGGTTTCTTTTCACAAATTGGCAGATTGTATAATGTTCATCACATTTGGTGTAAGTATCAGCATTAAAATTTTTTATTCATTTTTTACTTTCGTTTTTACATTGTTTTGATGTATTATATTAATAGTAGACTAAATAGTATTATACATTTTCTCCATATCATTAAAAATGAAAAATAATTACAAATGCAGGCTATAAAAATTTACAAGCCCGAATGGAGACTCGTGAGAGTGCATGGAGATCCCCAGGATGGGATGAATGTGTTGCATATACTGTACCATTAATCAGAGAAACACATTCCCGTATATTAAGTCCAACTAGCTTTTCGCCAACGAAATAAAACTTTACTTCGTGAATCTAAATGCATTTGTATATTACAATTTATTCCATATGTCTACATTATAATATTGTAAAAACATTTGTTATATTATACACTACTGTATAAAATAAGCGCTCAATATGAAAGGAATTGTAGCATTTTGTTGTATTGGAATTACTGAAATGTATTTTAATAAAATTTAAACTTCTTTGTTACTATAATGCTGTATGATATATTATATCTTTATTGTCAATTTAAACACTTTTACATGTAGATGAATATACTTAATCGTTGTAGTTATGAACATTTATGTCTTCTTTTACTAAAATCTACCATTTATAATTACGTTTACATAATAATCTAATTTATATTTCATGATTTCATATTAGCAATTGATTTATTTGAAACAATATAAATGTTTAAAAGTTTTAATAAAATTTTTTTATTTTATTTAAATAATGATTCGTTTT